GTGTGTGTGTGTGTGTGTGTGTGTGTGTATGTGTGTGTGTTTTGAGATATGGTCTCATGTACCCCAGGCTACTCACAGATTTGCTGTGCTGGGAGGATCTTGAACTCTGGATTCTCCTGCCTCTGCTTCCCAAGTGCAGGGATTACAGGCGTGTACTACCAGCCGCTAACGTCACAGCAAGAATGTTTATATCATCCTCAGTTTATTCATAAGGAAACGGCCTGATCTCACACATCTAAGAAGGGATGAGGCTAGCATTAAAAAAAAAAAGGTTCTAGAATCCATGCATTTAAATTCTACAACATATACAACATACACAAACAAGAAAACAGAGAATACTGGCACTTAGGGATGGTCTGCTAGATTATTTACACACCTGTTGAAGACAGGTGGTCACGTAAAGCTGGGCCACAGACTCCTCTTTAGGGAGACAGAATGGGCTGGAAAAGTTCTACCCATTGCCTCATCCTCTAAATGAAAATAGGAAGAGCCGTGGAAGTGCACATACAACTTAGAGATGCTGCAATACAAGATAGCTTTGCCTGCTGATGTTTTATTTCACAATTATTTCCCTAGCAATTAATCTTAAATCACTCAAAAGGAAAAAAATCTATGTGGGTAAGTATTTTCATTATATTAATATTTATAGCAAAAAAGAGAAATAAGCAACCAAAAAATGAGCATGAAAAATCTTGTATAGTAATGTAAAAGTGCATTTATGGAACCAAGTCCCTGGATAAAATGCCGGATTATGAATCTGGCAGTGGTGGTGCATGCTTTTAACCCTAGCACTCGAGAGGCAGAGCGAGTTTCAGGACAGCCAGGGCTACAGGGAGAAACCCTGTCTCTAAAAAGAAAAAACAAAAGGTCAACAACAACAACAAAAACAAACAAATAAAAAGAAAGGGATTATAAGAAATTAACATAGAATGTCAGGGTCTGGAGAGTTTGTTCATCAGTTAAAAGCACTGGCTGTTTTTCTAAAAAAAAGAAAAAAAGAAAAAAGAAAAAGAAAAGAAAAAAACTGGATTCAATTGCCAGCCCCCACATGGCAGCTCATAACTGTCTGTCATTCCAGTTCCAAGGAATTTGATTCCTAGATCTCCACAGGCCAGGCATGCTACCATACTCATAAAATAATAACAAAATTTAAATTAAAAAATAAAAGATCAAATGAGGTGTACCTTGGAATAGAGCTTACACACATACACACACACACACACTCAGAAATAGAAAGAAAAAGAAAATTGAAAATATTTTTCTCTTTGATTTGTATAGGTTTATGCAATAAAAAAAGAGGATGTGACAATATTTTCTAAATAGCCTTAAAATGAGTTCTTCATAATAATCCATTAGAACATGGACAAAGTGGTTTAGGAGGATTTTGACAGATTCAAAATAAACGCAGCTGTGATCATTTGACTCTCACATACTGTTTATATATTCATGACTGGATTTCCTTATTTCTTTATTTTGTACTGGTGATCAAACCTTGAGCCTCATGTATGCTAGGCAAGAGTTCTACCACTGAACTGCATCCCTATGCCCTATACAGAGTTTGCATGTTAAGTAATGGCGCCTTCGCCTTCTCCTTTGGCACTGCAGTATAATGGAATGTGTCTACAAGGACCAGCGGGAGTTCCTGGTCGCGATGGGAGCCCTGGGGCCAACGGCATCCCTGGTACACCTGGAATCCCAGGTCGGGATGGATTCAAAGGAGAGAAAGGGGAGTGCTTAAGGGAAAGCTTTGAGGAGTCCTGGACACCAAACTACAAGCAGTGTTCATGGAGTTCCCTGAATTACGGCATAGACCTTGGGAAAATTGCGGTAAGTAAAGTCCAAATTATAATAAAGTTGAAGCAAAATGTAAAAGTTTGTATAAGTCATTGCCAATTTTATTTTATTTTTTATTAAGTCAAAGGACCTTAAATAAAAAGATTCAGAATAGGTAGTATGTGACTTTTTACTTGATAACGTTTCAGTTAATTTTATAAAGGCATTTTTAAGATAGATATCACTATTTTATAAAGCAAACACAAAAAGTATAGCTTTTTTTTTTGTTTCCAAATTAGACAGGAGCCAGCATTGTAATCTCAGGATAAAGTAACTTTAAATTCGTCCAACACGCCCTGCTGTAGCTTCAGACCTAAAAGTGGAAGATGAGCTTAAAAATTACCACGTGACCGGGATCCCTGCTACGGGAAGTCCTTGGTCTAGCGCTCAGCTTCAAACTGCTTAAGTTAAGGGAATTGAAGCCGATTGCTGGTGATTTAAAACATTTGTGTAGAGAGAAGCACACAAACTAACTTATCCGGTAAGGCATTTTGATGAATGATCCAGGGGCTGATTGAGTGATCCAGTGATTAGTGCTTTGTCTCCAAGAGACCCGGATGTAGCTGAGTGGGAGCGGGCGGAGCCTCTACTGTGTAAGGCTGGATGAAGTGCCATTAGCAAGTCCAGTGGGATGGGACAGAGCGGAGAAAGTCTGTGCTGTTTCCATATCTTCTTTTGATGACCAACTCTGTTCCTGCCTCCTTAGCTATAATTTAGTGCTTCGTGATTCTGCTTACCACAACCACCGGGAAAACAGAAGTTTATTTCCATAAAATTCTTAAGGTTTTAAGTTGTAATATGGCATCACGCATGTTTTTCATCTCAACCTTTTATGGTTTATTTTAAAAGTTCAAGAATGTCTTGATTCCGTGTGGCATGTTTTTGTGGGGTTTGTTCGTTTGTTTGTTTGTTTTTTATCTAGCTACCACATTTTGGCAATAGAGGTCTTTTCTCTCTTTATACATGATTTTTTTTTTAAAGGAAGTGTTTTATTTGAATGATGCCTGTTATTTCAACATCTGACAACAGTGGACTTTCTTATTTACAGTTGTTCAGCAGAAGTTGCCATTTTCCCTCCCAAAAGCTGTCCCTTTATAGTTCCTGCATTATTAAGACGCAATGATTTTTAGCAGTAGTTACAAGGAATTCAGAAACGTTCTGCAAGGAAGAGATTGTAGGTCCTAAGCCAATGTACAGATTGTTTGGAGATCAGCTAGAGGGAAGGAAACAAGACTAGATTTTATTACTGCGTCGTTCAGATAATCCTGTCTACTATGTACTGTTGCTCCAAAGAGAGGCTTAATCAAGCCTGGTGTGGTGACTCATGCATGTCATGTCAGTATTTGAGAAGTAGAGGCCTCTGGAGTTGAAGGCCATCCTTGGCTACATAGCATTTTGGGGGGAAACACTGACTAAAACCGCAACCACCACCACCACCCCCCCACCCCCCCCCCCCAGGGGACGAAGAGAGTGAACATAATCTATGCCAGCTCTAGAATGCCAGCTTCGTGAGGGCGGGGCTTTCTTTGTTTAACGTTTGTGTCCAACACAGAGTTGATATTCGGTGTTTTTCAATAGAGAAAAAGTACATAGATTCATTAGCCAAAAGTACTGTTTTTGAAAATAAACAGGAAGTACACTTAGTAAAATAAAACCATCTAAGAAAGCCAGAAATTGATTTTCTTTTTTTTTTAATCAATCTTATAAGTTATCTTTATCCCTCTATAAAATTAAGCTTTTAAAGACCTGGGGAGAAGGCAGTTACATAAAATTCACAGCGTATTCTCAGTCTCTTATTTTACCCTCTCCTGTGCCCTCCCTCCAACTTCTCCTCTATCCCCTCACTCCACCCCTTCTCCCCCCCTTCATGTATTTGTTTTAACCCTCACCAAGTCCACTGAGTGCTGTCTATGTGTGTGTGGGCGGAGGGTAATCTACTGGAGCACAGGCAGCCTCTCAGGGGCCTCATCTCTGAAGAAACACATCCGGTCTCCCTAGCAGCTGTCAGTTGCCCACAATTCCACAGCTAGGGGTGGGACTTCACGGCTCCTCCCCATCCGTGCCGGGATTTTGACTAGGTTGATTTGGTGCAGGCCTTGCACATGAAACCTGCTGTGAGTTCATGTGTGCCATGGCCCTGTCGTGTCTGGTAAATTCTATGCATTGCAGGTGTCTACTACCTCATCCCCCCCGCCCCCCTCTTATTCTCTGAACATTGACCAGATGTGGGTCTCTGTATTAATCTCCGTCTACTGTAAAAGGAAGGTTCTATGATGAGGGTTGAAGAAATGTATTAATTTATAAGTATTAAAAAAACCCCTTAGTTCATTACTATATCCTTTCAGAAGAATAATAGTATTAGCTTCTCCTCTAGGACCTTTTGAGCTGGTCAGATATGGATTTTGGGTCCAGTTAACTAAACTGGGGATGAGTTTCACCTTCTGGTAGAACTGGCTTTAACCCAATCATTAAACAGTTGGTTACTCCCTAACGTTTAAACCACTACTGCACCAGAGGCAGCACCGCTGGTCACAGGTGTCTCATCACGCTTTCCTTGGCAGCATGCACTGAACCTTCCAGCACTATGAAAGCTAACCAGTAAGGACAAATCTTCTGTGTCAGTGACAGCTTAATTATCCATGTCCTATGACTTAAGTATGTGATATCCTCAGACATAGGAGTGTTATTCAGCTGTAAAGAGAAAGGTGATTATGACATTCACAGGTGAATGGGGAGAAGCTGAAAATAATCACTTTGAGTGAGGTCACCCAGACCCAAGAAGACAAAGAATGAAGTGTGTTCCCTCTCATGCATGGGTGCTAGCTTTGAATCTTTAGATATGCATATTTAAGTTAGGGTATATCCTAGAAATTATAAAGTTAGTAAGGGGCCATTCAAGGGGAGGGGATAGAATGTAGGCATCATGGAGGAGGAAAGGGAATACCAGGACAGGTTAGATGGGAGGGCAGGAAAGGGGAGGGAGTCTGGGCGAGGATAAGTAACACTAAAGACCTTTGAAAAAAGCCATGAGGAAGCCAACTACTGCAGAAGTCTTAAAATACACACACACACACACACACACACACACACACACACACACACGTATAAAAGGAGTTAAATGGTGTCTCCCCAGACACCATAGACAACCAAATAAAAAAATAGCAGATATGGGGCACCTCTTTTTGAGTTATTGGTCAGTGGAGTCTCAAAGACATGCCCCAAATTTCAGACTGTGGCCACCGGTCCAGGTTAGCCTCCATAACTTGACGGTTGAAGTAACTTTTTAATTAAAATGGAAACTGTCTGGCTGTTTTTCTGCCCCGGTAGGAGTGTACATTCACAAAGATGCGTTCCAACAGCGCTCTTCGAGTCCTGTTCAGTGGCTCGCTTCGGCTCAAATGCAGGAATGCATGCTGTCAGCGCTGGTATTTTACATTTAATGGAGCTGAGTGTTCAGGACCTCTTCCCATTGAAGCCATCATCTATCTGGACCAAGGAAGCCCTGAGTTAAATTCAACTATTAATATTCATCGTACTTCCTCTGGTATGTATAAAAGTGGCTCTGCTGAGTGAGCCTCATATCTACCTAAGAGGTTTGATTTCCATTGTCATACTGTGTAACTAGCCTGTTATAAATAAACCCCTAGCAGGCTCATAGTATATGACTCTCCACCCTGGACTGCAAATCACATAATTTTACAGATTTTTTTTCAAAGAGTACAGATTCTGGGGTGCCATCTCTGACCAAGTGACTCTGGTGTAAGGTTCCAGAACCTGTGTCTTAAAAGCAAAATAAAACAAAGCAAATAACAACAAAAACCCTAGTTGTGATGATATACCCCAAAATTGAAAGTCAATGATAAGTTAGAAATGGCAAAACAGCCAGGAATTCTGTATAGCAGTGGCTCTGGTTCCCAGCCTTGGCTACATAATGGGCTCACCTGGGAAACTTGAAAAAAAATTACCGCCCTGGGTACTGCTCCTCCAGGAAGAGTCACTTCGTAGGGATTTGATCATTAAAGGTCATCGTCTAATCATTTGCTTGCAGTGAGGCTGATGCTAGGCCCACACCTGTCTAGAGTCTGTTGGCTTCAGGGTTCAGTGGACACATTTCTAGGTCATAGGGGTCAAGGCCTTGGGGCAGCTTGAGTATTGCTGGCATGCATTTTCAGCTAGCATGGTGTGGACTACTCGACAGCTTAGATGCGGTTGTGGGCTCACTGCTCACCTCCCAACTGTAGAAGAGGTCGGAACTAGTGCATACGTCACAGCCAGGGAGGGCAGAGTGCTTCAGTTCTATATCCTGGGGTGCAGTTGAACTGAGTTCACTTCACCTAAGGTGGAACCTGACAGGGTGCATGGGCACATCACTCTCAGCCAGGTAGGAAAGCTGGGCCACCAACAGCACTACTTGAATCTCAAGAGCCATTGTCTTCGAGAATCTGCCAACTCCAGTTTCCTTTCACACTTTGCACAGACATCAAAGATAATGTGTCCTCCTGCCTGTTTCAGTGACCAACACTGAAATCTTTCTTTAGATGTGAGTGAAGAACTTTGGTAACTTGGAATGCAAGCTGTATGTTAGAATGTGAGAGCCCAGAAGGCATGTGTAGCATACAGCATCAAACCAGAACAGAACAAAAAGTATTGGTTTAATACAATAAGCCTATTAAAGGGCCAGTGAGATGGGTTAGCAGGTAGAAGGCACTCTCCTGCCCCTCAGAGTCAGTCTGATGACCTGTGTTTGGTCCCTGAGACCCATATGGTGGAAGGAGAGGGCAAACTCCTGTAATCAGCTGTCCTCTAATCTCCACATGTGCACGGTGGCACGTGTGCATCCACACCTACATATATACACTAGATAGATGATAGATAGGTAGACAGAGAGATGCAAGCATACATACATACATACATACATACATACATACATGCATTTTTTTTTTGCCAAAAATAAGAATCTATATAAAGTGGATTCACAGACTGAAGGGATGATACAAGATTAAGCTAGAATTTCTTCTTCTCATATAAAAGTCCTATCCTGGATTTGACTTTCAGTTTGGGATCCATGTTGAAAAGGACTTTCTTTTAAAAGACTTGCATATCTTGATCCAGGCTCTGGTTCAGGTCTCTTCCAAAGTTGGGAAGTCTTGAAAGTTGAAAGTGTCAGCTTTCCATATGGTTGGATAAATTGTTCTTTGGTTTTAAGTAACTAGAATACATTTTGGTTTGAGAATACTGTTGAGGTAATATAGCACAGTGATTGTGTAAAAACCTTCAAAAATGTCTATGTATAGACTAAGAAAAAGGAGACCTTTATTATGAAATCATCAGGTACCAGAATTTTTAATTAGCTTTACATTAAACAGAATTATAATCGGATTTTCTATAGTAAATGCAAAATGAACGATTTTGCTTTTTGTTCTTGAGTTGTGACTGGCTCTGTTTTGCAGTGGAGGGACTCTGTGAAGGGATCGGTGCCGGGCTGGTAGATGTGGCCATCTGGGTTGGCACCTGTTCAGATTACCCAAAAGGAGACGCTTCTACCGGGTGGAATTCGGTGTCCCGCATCATCATTGAAGAACTACCAAAGTAAAGCCTCTGAAGTGTCCGTTCCCTGCCTCGTTTGCTTTTTGAATCAAGCCTTTGAATGGTTCATTTAAATGACATTTAAGAAATCACTTTATGTGCTCAGCTGAATGAAAAAGCAAAGTTAAAAATGTTTACAGACCAAAGTGTGATCTCACACTTTAAAATATAGCATTGTCCATTTTATTCCAACTAAAGATGGTTTCAGGATTTTTCTTTTCAGTAATTACTTTCTGAGCCTATATATTTGAATGCTGTTACAGTCTTTAGTATTTCCTATGGTTGACATTTTGAAACATATAAAAGTTATGTCGTTGTAAGAGCTGTATAGAATTATTTTATATCTGTTAAATAAAATGCTTCAAACAACCTTAGTATTTGTCTGTTTGCTTATTTATTTGTATAGCCCTGGCTTTTCTGAAATCTGCTGGCCTGAAGACCAGGCTGGCCTCAAACTCAAGAGATCTGCCTACCTATACTCCCCAAGTGCTGAGACTGAAGGTGTGTACCACCATGCCTGGTAACTTTTATCATTTTTAAACTGAAGATTTTGCCACTGAAGTTGAATTCGCAGTACTTAGCATATGAGAAGTTAAACACAAATCTAAATTTTAAGAATTCATTTAGTAATTTATGAAATTTTAGCACGTGTATAACATGATTCTTCATCTTGAGGGATATGAAGACATAAGGGTGTTCATATGACAGGAATATAACAGTATTTTAGAATTTTTCATCTTAATATATCAAAAAGTAAACACATATGGCTCTGGCCACAAACTACTTACCATTTCGTAGAAAGGATAAGCCACGTGATAGCTATTCTCAGTAGCCAACTTGACTTTATCTGGAATGAACTACAATCCAGAAATGGAGGATATACCTGTGGGATGGATCTTGAGGCTGAAAGACACAAGCTTTGCTCTGGATCTTGAAGCAAGATGACAGACGGTTTTGATCAGAACTGGCACACACCTTGTGTGTGATCTCGAGGCTCACCTTTAATCTTGGCCTTACCTTCCACTGGAAGGGTACATACGGACAACGGGAGAAGGAACGGATCTCTCTTTCTTTGTCTGCTTGCACTTACTTACCAGCACATCTGTTGGAGCCTCCTTCTTCAGGATTCCACACTTGCACAGAAGACCAGGTGGAACACTCAGCCTCGTGGGACTGAGCAACTACTAGATTCTTGGACTTTCCATTCACAGCTAGACATTGTTGAGTTAGTTGGACTGTAGCCTGTATGCATGTGTATATATATGTCCTTTTCATAACCTCCGTGACGCTAGAGAACCCTGACTAATACAACATACACAAAATGAGACAGATGAAGGATGTAGTGTAGTTCACAGTAGAAGTGACCAAACCATTTAGGAATGAAGGAAGCACTTTTTAAAAAGCATATATAGTCAAATGAGGAGTGTATAAAATGTATAAGGGAGTTAGCCACTGTGATGTTTGTATATGCTCAGCCCAGGGAATGGCACTATTAGGTGTGGCCCTAATAGTTGGAGTAGTAGGTGTGTCACTGAAGGAGTGGGCTTAGGAACCTCATCCTAGCTGCCTGGAAGTCAGTATTCCGCTAGCAGCCTTTAGGACTGAAGGGGTCACGCAGAGGAGCTGAGGCTTAGCACCATGAAAAGAGCCCATGAGAGGCTATCTGTGAAAGTGCAGCTCAGATGCAGCAGAAGACAATATTGTTTTGGAGATGGCAGTACCATGGGAGGACCACCAAGAACAGCAGCTGCAGTGGGGTACAGGGTGCTGGAGCCTAGAAGACAAGGTGTGTGCTACAAAGGGCAGAGCTGGAGAAGTGACCCAAACCCTTGGAGTATCCCAGAAGATTGTGAGTGGATCCCAGACATTGGACAGTTAAGAGTTTGATTTTGCTTTTGAGTGTGACTGTGCCTTGATATTTTTCCCTCTTGAAGGAAGAAAATATTTTAGTGGAGCCCACAGTTAAGCAACTTTGAATTGTAAAAAGACTTTGAATTTCGAACGAGACTGGATTTTTTTTCCATTTTCTTTTTTTTAATTTATTTTTTTATTCTTTAATTCTTTTTTTTACAGTTCAGACTTCATCGCCCTCCCGGTTTGTCTGTCCGCTGACCACTCCCCATCCCATACCTCTTCCCCCCATCTCTAAGAGGATGTCTGTTCCCCCACTCTACTAGGCCTCCCCATTCCCTGGGGCCTCAAGTCTCTTGAGGGTTAGGTGCATCTTCTCTCACTGGGGCCAGAACAGGCAGTCCTCTGCTGTATATATGGGGCTTCATATCAGCTGCTGTATGCTGTATGTGGCTCAGTGTCTGAGAAATCTTGGGGGTCCAGGTCAGTTGAGACTGCTGGTCTTCCCATGGGACCACCCTCTTCTTCAGCTTCTTCCAGCTATCCCCCAATTCAACCACATGGGTCCCTGGCTTCCATCCATTGGTTGGGTGCTAATATCTGCATCTGATTCTCTCAACTTGACTCTTTCAGAGGGCAGCCATGCCAGGCTTCTGTTTGGGTCCTTTGGCTTGTTAACCTTGTTGTGTCCTGGGTATTCTGTACCTTTTTTGGGTAATATCCACCTATTAGTGAGTACATACCATGCATGTCTTTTTGGGTCTGAGTTACCTCACTCAGGATAATATTTTCTAGTTCCATCCGTTTACCTGCAGAACTCATGATCTCCTCATTCTTAATAGCTGTGTAGTATTCCATTGTATGAGGTTGAATATTTGAAAGGGATTGAAATTTTAATATGTAAGAATTTGTAAAGACTATGGGACTTTTAAAGTTATTTACATCTTGGGGATGAATAAAAAGTTAAGAGTTGAGGCTTCATAGTGATATGTTTGTGTATCAAGTTGACAAAGAGTCAGTTGAACCGTCTGGTTTTGTGTGTCAACTTGACACAAACTGGTGTTATCACAGAGAAAGGAGCCTCCCTTGGGAAAATGCCTCCATGAGATACAGGTGTAAGGCATTTTCTCAATTAGTGATTAAGGGCTGGAGGGCCCATTGTCGATGGTGCCATCCCTGGGCTAACAGTCTTGGGTTCTACAAAAAAACCACAAAAAACAAAAAACAAAAACAAAACAAACAAACAAAAAAAACAAAACAAAACAAAACAAAAAAAACAAGCTGAGTAAGCCAGGAGAAGCAACCCAGTAAGCAGCACCCTCTATGGTGTCTGCATCAGCTCCTGTATCCAAGTTCCTGCCCTGTATGAGTTCCTGTCCCGACTTCCTTTGGTGATGAACAGCAATGTGGGAATGTAAGTGGAATAAACCCTTTCCTCCTCAACTTGCTTCTTGGTCATGATGTTTTGTGCAGAAATACTAACCCTGATTAAGACAGCCACCAAGCTTGATGAAGTGAGTTCAATCTCCAGGACCCCCTCAGTGGAAGGCAAGAACTAACTACTAAAAGTTGTTCTCTGATCTCTCCACACTCACCATGACACATATGTGGTCCTCCACAAATACACACAAAGTAAGTAAATAAATAAATGTAACAAAAGTCCACAGTCATGTCCTATCTATCCATCCATCTATCTATCTATCTATCTATCTATCTATCTATCTATCATCCATCTATCATCTATCTATGTAATTGTAATTGTACTGTATATTCATAGTTAACAAATGAAGAAAGAATACTATCATTAGATACTCCTCTTTTTCAACACTTTATGAATTAAGGGATCTCTAAGTGTGGATTTATGGCTCATAACATCCCCCAAAGAGAGATCAGACTAACTACCCCCTAAGGAAGTCATATAGCACTACCTAAGAGAAGTTTTTTCAGTGGTCAAACCAAGATTCAGTTTAGCATATAGATATGACTGTTCATTGATGGAAACACAGGAGATAAAAGGTTTAGATATAGCAATATAGATATAAAAAGCAAAATACAGACAGCAGAAAACTTGAAAGACAGTTTGATTCCTTCAATAAATTGAAAGAAAAAGAAACTATTAAAAGGAGGCATAATATCAACCTATTGCAAGGTTTGTACTCAGATACTGATTCACGGAAATTATAAGTACAACACAAGGTCAAATTTTCCTTAAGATAGCTGACATCTAAACACTGATGTTATAAATGAGTTGTAGTTATGATATGGTGTTATAGTTATTTTAAAAATCATGCTCAATTTTTAGAGATATTGAAACACTTAATAATGTGAATCCATGTGTCATGGTTTGAATGAGAAACATCTTCTATAGGTGCATATATTTGAAAACCTGTTCTCCAGTTGGTGGTACTGTTTGGAGAAGTTGTGGAACTTTTAGGACGTGGGACATTACTGGAGGAAATATATCACTGGAGGTGAGTTTTGAGAATGTATAAATTCAGTCCAGTTCCTTTTTGTTACTTACTTATGTACAGTTGAGACATGATCTTTCAACTTTCTGCTTCTGCAACATACCTTCCTCGCCATTAGGGACATCTTGCCCTCTGGAATTATCACAGCAACAAGAAGAGCAACTAATCCAGCATGTCTAGAGCCTACTTCAAAATAAGATGGGAAAAATGGGGCAGTTTAGATGGAACAATATTAAAGACAGGCGTTAATACAGGTAAAATTTTTGAAGGGTGTGCTGGCTAGTTTTATGTCAACTTGACATAAGCTAGAGTCACTGGAGGAGAAGGAGCCTCAATTGATCAAATGCCTCCCTATGAGCTGGCTGTAGGTAAGCCTGTATGGCATCTTCTTACTTAGTGATTCATGTAGGAAGGCCAAGGCCATTGTTGGCAGGGACCCCCACTCATGATCCTAGGATCTAAGAGAAAGCAGGCTGAGCAAGCCATGAAGAGCAAGCCAATAAGCAGCACCCCTCCATGGCCTCTGCATCAGCTCCTGCCTCCAGGTTCCTGCCTAGTTTGAGTTTCTTCTTTGGTTTCTGTAAGTGGAGTAGTGTGACTCAGGATATGTAAGGCAAATAAATTCTTTCCTCCCCAGTTCGCCTTTCATCATGATGTTTCATCATAACAACTGGAACCCTAAAACTGAAGGGATTAAGAACACTTTGAGTGAGAGCAAGAACATTAAGTGAAGACTCTCCAACATTTATAGGAAATAAATGATGTTTGAGGACTGCTCTGCACATGTAAGAGTGTAAGCTGGCAAAGGAGGCTGGGAAAACACCGAGGAGGTAAAAGTGACTAGAGTTATCTGTGGGGTAATAGAGAACTATCTGACCACTAAATGGGATTTAAGTCAAATGACAAAGATAAAAGACATGAATAGGCATTACTCTGAAACAGCCCACAAATGTATGAAATGATGCCCAGTACCACCTGTCATTAGCAAAATTCAACTGAAAACCACTTTATACCCATTAGAAGGCTTTAATTAAAAATGGAAAATAAGTGTTA